AGCAACGGTCATTCTCCGGGACAAAGATAAAGTTTTTCAATCGACAACCGTCGAACAAGACGAAAGACAACAGGCAGCACATCAAAATGCGAGAATATCTCATCCGTATCTCGCCACACTTCAATAAAAGATCCATTTGCACAACTCATTGGATTGTAGTTGTTAACGTTTCGAATAGTATCCTCAAAACAGCCAAACGACTTCCCAGTTGGTGTATAGTTATTGTTGTTGGAGAAGGACAACGTATCGATCAAGTTCGAAGAAATGTATTCTATCTTACAGCAGAAATACAAGATGAACTTGCAAAAAGATCTGCATTTTTCAAAGTTATTCGTTATTGGTCTAAACATCATTACGCAGCACAAAAGAATGCTGGTTATTATTGGGCAATGCTTCACAAAGCAACAGCAATCTGGGATTTTAATCATGATAATGAACTAATTGTTAATGAACGTACTCTTCGTCTTTTATTTCATGAGCAAGTGGATGCACTAACCGTGCCAAATCATCGTAATACACTATTTAATCCTTATCCATTTTTCCTCATGAGTACACAGCAAATTCGGCCGCGTGGATTTCCTCGACGATCAATTAATGTAAGTAACTTTCACAGTAACCTCATTCTAGATTCATTTGAGAAGTTGATCATTATTTAAATAATAGCATGCAAAAATGATGCATCTTTTCTTGATTTGAAAAGGGCTATTCAAAATGACAAACAGCAGCAATAAAAACTTCAAGGGAAAAAAGAAATCGATGAGAATTTCACCATTAAGACCCAATGCAGATGAGCGGCTGCGGCATAAAAAATGATATCGTCCGTATTTCCGACAATGTCTATGCCAAATCTCATCAGTTTTCACTTGATTTTTCTATTTGCATGATTCGTCTTTTGGCACTGCATATCAAAGTGTTAGAAGAAGTTGATTTGTGACCAACTACTTTTCAATACCACCACATTTAGTTATATATATGAGAGAACTCGTTTTTACTTCACAATCAGTATTTATGGGATGTTAAATAGGCCATTTGTGCTGAAGGAGCAAATTCGCTCCATGTACCTCATTGACTTCTTGGGGATCATCCGTTCTTATACGGCTATATCACTTAATTGGCAGAATCTCAACCATTAGTCTTGCAGTTCTCGCTCAGAAGATCTCTGATCATCAGTGTGCTTGATTGAATTTATAGATCTAACTGGAGATTTTTCGAACAGTGTGCTTTCAGTTTATCTTTGACCTTGAAAATCACTTCACTAGAGTGAGAATTTCCTGTCACTCATATTTAGTTTGCAGCTCGATAAATTAGGTTTCGCAAATAATCTCTCACGGTTTCTTTTATCACACTTAGAAAATAAAATTTGTAACATAAGATTTAGGAATGTTCTCGCCAAAGTATGGGTGGTATCATTATTTATCCTATACACGTAATGTTCTTATTTATTTCTCGAAGGATTCGTACAAATACATCAACGAAACGCAAAAACTGCATGGTTATTGGCCAACTAAAAACATTGGAGTTATTCAATCTCTTGCTCATGGTCATGCCGATGTAGATTTAAGCAATAGCCTAACGACATCCGATGCTTCAGTACAGTTAAAAAAGCTTTCTAAAGACCCTAAGAAAGATGTGAAATTAATCGTTCCTCGTCGTACTTTTTCACCTTATAATGAACAAGCTACTTTCCATCTTCAGTCGGCTTTGTGGGCACTCTTATTACCAATCACTGTTGATCCTCCGCTATCGGATATTTGGCGGAGTTATGCAATGCAGGTGAGTTCGAATTATTTCTAACTTCAGAATAGAGAAGATTTCAATACCATATCGATAAAATATTCCAATCTTGAAGAGAAGAGTCGTGCTAGTGTTAAAAACTTTAGGCAATCGTTATTTCAAATTTCTTTCCGTTTTTCTCGAATGAAACTAAACGATTCTCTTCCGCTTTCTACATGCCAGAGCTGAATCTGGAGTTTGACTTAGAATCAAGTTGTCCATGTCTACATAAATCCGACTTCTCGGGAAAATTGGACGATTTTCAAACGAGTTCGTGAGTTATTTCATCTTTGGTCCTCAAATAGACTGAAGTCTTTCACTGGATCAAAATCTGTTCGAAGTTCTAAATTTGAAACGAGGATTCTATCGTTAACAGCGATTACTGTGGGATGTCGGACTTCAAGTTGCATTTGCCGGACCCTATGTTACTAAGCAGCAACATAACCAATACAATGAGGTCAAATCGACGAAAAATTCTTATCTTAAAATCCGTAAGCTTGTAAAATTCTTAGCAAGATGGTCCAGTAATCAAAAGAGTTTGGTGAAACGTGCTCAACAATTATATGTTGAGCTTTATGAACGGGGTTATATTGGAGCCACTGATGTTCATATCATAAAACTCTGGTTTAGAGAATTACGTCAGTATGATTATATTTTTCCTACGGTTGCTGCTAAGTTTACGTTGGCTGTTCGTACATTTTCCGGTCATCTCTACAGAATGAATCAACGGTAAGTGAAAAACTATTACGATTATTGAATTATAAGCACAGCTAAATAAAAGAAATTTTTCCGTATTTTTTTTTCTTCAACAAACTTTCTAGGCATGACTGAGTGCAACAAAATGACAATCGAGTAGCAGTTTAAATTCGAACCTTTTACAGTCTTCCTTTTGAAAAAAAAATGAAATACGGCTGAAAATACGAATCTTGATATTTGATAATAGCTCTTCAATTTTTACTTAGAAGCTTCATAAATAAATCCGATATTTCTATTAAAAATGCTTGTTAGCGCAGCTCCATTGGAGCTGAAATATGGAACTCACATATATTCTCTAGTCTCATTAAACGAGTACAAAATGCCTAAAATGACAAATCTCTCGTAGATTATTGTTAGTTTCTTGAACAATCGCACATAAGAGTAATGATCTCTCGATTTTCTGTATTTTGAACAGAAATCTTGAATTTTTTTCTTCGGACTCCTTAGTTTTTTTTACATTGTTGCTATTAGCTCATTATTTTTCTCTTTTTATTGGTTTTTATTAATTTAACGTTCTTATTATTATAATCATTGAATTAATTGACAAACAAACCTGTTTTACACATACAAGATACCTAGAATAGATCTTAGGCACTAATATATTGAGAAAATCATTTGTTAGCGACGTGACTTCGTAAAATTGCAGCGCGTATATCTTGGGATAATGAACTTCCAAAGAGCTAATTTTTAGATGTTATGTATATAAGGTAGTGCTACTCTAAATGCTCTGAAAAATCAGTCTCAGAGGCCTTCGTTGAGAGGAGTCATTACTACAAAGCTAGCGTTAGTGACGCGACACAAAAAAAGGATATAAAATTCTACTACATGCAATTTAAATTAAAAAAACTTCGATCTAGTATAGCATTTTTGAAAACTAAACGGTACATTCTGTAGACAACTCACAGGGGCGTAAAACCCCTACCCGAAGTTTTTTTCAAGTACGCATACATTTTCCAAAAAAGTCGATTTACTTTTTGTTAGCGACTTGACTAAATACGAATATACAAATGAAAAAATGCTCTTTTAATTGAATGAAAAGTTCAAAACAAATTTAAAATATTAGGAATTCTTCCTCAGAATCTTGAGATGATAATAAGACAAAAGTTTTCTTTTCGGTGCTTGACAGGATCTGTAGAGGACCGGTTTTTATGAGGAAAATTTTTGGAGTCCAATCTTGCTAAAAACTTTACCATAGATGTAGTTCAAGCCCTAGAGGCTATTCCGAAAATTTTAGATTCTTTCTTCATACGGTTGGAGAGATATGCACTAATTACTAATTAATTAATTTTAATTAATTAGCATCTGAAAGAGCTTAACATTTTTACATATGTCTATGCTAAAAGAATTTATTCAGAAAAAGCACTTGTGTCAAAAATCAAAGTCAAATAAAAGGGAGTATATTCTGTTTTGCTTGATTTTGAGCATATATATTAATCAACGTACAAATAGTGATATTTATTATTTTTCAAAATTATAAGTTGACCAATTTTGCAAAAAACTCTAGAAAGCCTAACGCCTCTTATTCTCGACTCTTTAAGTCTGTAATAGAGGAAGGTGTCTATAATGGGGAGGAGAATGAGGAGCCACGAAGCCTTCACCTTAAAATTTACACTCACTATTTTCTTCAAAAGGATCTGTGAATACTACAAAAATCATTGTATGCTATTATTACTGTAACCTTTCAAACAATGTTTGTCTAGATATATTCCTACAGTGAATATGTTCGTTGATCGAAATGTATTTGACGTCTTGGTTGTTCTTGATGATGAATCAAAAGAAGATCATATATTGGGCAAATGTTTGAAAAGACATAATTTCTCCGTTAAATATGAAGCACTTCCGATATTTGCCAAAAAAATCAATCTCCAAGGATACGATCGGCAACAATGGTCTACATTCTATATGGATCAGTTATCGAACAGTGACTACATTGGTGTCATTGATGCTGATGGAATGATCTTCTCATTTATGCATCCATTCTATAGTATATTCGCATCTGATGATGATAAGCGCATCATGCTCAAGCCAATGGCTGGTGATCATTATAAAGAAAATAAAGTAATATTTGCGCAGTGTTTTTCGATAAAATTAGGAGTATTTACTTTTTCTCACAATATCACAACAAAGAAGATTGGCATAAATGAATAGGTCACTGCTATCGTCTTCTTCTTGAGGACTGAAAACGTTGTTCAAAGATTTCATTCTAGCCTTATTCGATAGCAAGTAGAGGAGAATTCAAGGGATTAACCCTTTCGAGGCGATGGGGCCCACCGGTGGGCCCAAGGGGGAAAAAGCAAGACTTCACCGTACTTCACTTGTACTTCCTCCGTACTCACTCGACTTCCCTGTATTTCACTTGGGTTTCTACTTGTACTTCACTCATACTTCATTTTGCTTCACTCCATTTCATTTGTGCTTCACTTTTACTTCACTCGAATTTCACGGTACTTCAAGCACAATTTTGAACTACGAGTGAAGTACAGTGAAGTATGAGTGAAGTACCGTGAAGTAAGAAGTCTTGCTTTTTCCCCCTTGGGTGGGCCCCACTATAGGGTATCTCAAAAGCTCACTTATCGCAGAAAAGTTGAATATCTCTGCTATATTTTAATCAAAGGGGCTGATTCTTTTACCGCTAATAAAGGAATGTTTATGGCTCATATTGATAAGAGAAACGTTGATAAAAATTGTTTCGAAGTAATACAGTTGCTACAAAAAAAGAAATAAAACCTTTGGCAAATTATGAAAAAGCAAGATTCGTGTCGTCGCGAATGGGTGAAGGTCTCCCAACCTCAGAAAACCGTAGTTTTCGTTAAATCTTTGAATTTTCTTTTATTGCATAACTTTCATATTTACAAGGCATCGCTGTCGCTGTATATTAGATCCGAAGAGAAAGATGCAATCTACGTAATACTTAGTTTTAAAAACCATGAAAAAAACCCAACAATAACTCTCTCACCAGCGATATTGCCACATGTCTTCTTCATAATCAAGGAACCGGTATTCTAATGTGTCTGAATCTAGCTAGATGCTCTTGTAGATGTAGCTGAGCTCGCTGAATATATGCACAAGATTTCAGTTCAATAGCATGTGACAGAGCTTGAGATCTTATTTTGACGAAAGGATCTGAAGCCAAGATTGATTACCTTTCCCTGGGTGCAAAAGAGTGATAAAGCAAATAATATGCAACACGCTAAAAATCTTCGTGAATATGCCGCACTTTTTTGTACTGGTCTAAACTTTTTTCTCGATGCAGAGCTTCGATTGAATGAAACCTTGCTGATAATGCTTCCTACTTTTAACTAATATCCAAAAACTTTTCAGCTTCACTGGTTCACACGAAGCCTTAACATAAAGAATCGTGTGCTCTAGATTTTTCAAGAGCTGTTTGAGAATTCAGACACGCGGTTCAGAGAAACAGTCTTGCGGATATACCAAGTACAATTTATTTTTCAATCGTAGTTCTAATTCCTACATGAAAAATCTCAGTGACAAAAATATCGAACAATCAGACACCTTTACTCGCGCACTTTTCTGCAGTGTTATCTTTGGAATAAACAATTCGAAAACGTTTTTGCGTAGCTTATGATTTCCGCGATGTCGGCACCATTTTGTCAGTTTTTACCTTTAAAAAGTCAGATTTCATTTATTATATCAGTTATGGTACCAGTGTTGTGTGTGGAGTTCAATTTTGTACCAATTGGTACAAGTTTAAGGTGAACAATGAAAAGGTTACGGTTGGTACGAATTAAAAACGAGTCATGCCATGAAGATGTCAGAAAAGATATATTTTTGATATTTTCAGCAATTTCCGTCTTCAAAAATATTGTAAATTTCTTTCAACATTCCGTCGTTTGACTTTTGTATTTGAACGATTGAGCGCACATTACTCCATTGAATTTTCCACTAAGAAAAACTACTGTGATAAATAATGCTCCTGCATACTAAATATTTAGATCAATGAAATAGAACATAGAAAAGGTCTATTTAGTCTACGCAAGATGCATTCTGAAGGAAACAGTTCTTGTACTATAGCTGAAAAAAGCTGAGTTCATTGAATTTGTTACCAAATCATTTATTTCATCTAATGCATATGAATAACGGCAAGATATTAATAAAGGTATTTTACTTTCGTCAGAAAAATTCTTGTATCAAGTTTGATTGTCTTTGATCAACAGTATCGCTGAACAGGATCAAATAGAAATGTCTGACGCTAGTGACTTTAATTCCATACAAAGAAATTAGAAAACAGAAAATTTTTTCGATTATCTGTTAAGATAGCACTAAAATTCGACTCCGATCTTGACTTTATGTGGACGAATCGTATGCCCATGTGGTATCGATGGGAAACATATCCAAGTCTTCGCAATTATATTTCATCGGCGTGGAATTTATCAAGTTTTGATGATGCCTTTATTGAATTCTCTAAAAATCAACGTTATAGTCAATTTACCATTCTCTCCTCGTATGCTGCTCGATTCGAAGCGAATTATTATCGTATTATTATGAATACCGATAGACGTGGTGCAATCAGCGTTGGAAGTAATCGTGGTCGAGATAAAGATATTCGTATTGGCTGTTGTCGATCGTTCGGTAGTGGCTGTAATGATTCATCGATGCCCAGAGCTAATGAAGATCATTTATTAAGATTTGACAATACAGGTTTCGTTGCCATCAATGCCACAGAAAAGAACAATGTCTATTATAATCATGTTCACACCTATTTGACACAAATGCCCACACACATGGTGTCGTATATGAAACAAAGTTGTCGAATGTATCTCGAGAACAAATTGATGCCAACATGTGTCCGATAAGTTATTCTCATGAAAATTCTTATTTATTTTTATATCATACGCATAGATTTGAAGGAAGAGGATAAAATACCGTCTTTTATGTTTTTCATAAAATAGTTTCATACAAAAAAAATAAGCAAAACTCAAAGAAATGAATAGTTCGATATTTGTTCACTATGATCCCTGCATATAGTAACAGATAAGAAAATGATGATAATGATCGATTGATTTGTCATATAGAAGGGTAAGAAAGAACCAAATAAAATGAACGCTCTTGTTCGAGCCCTTTCTCTTCAGCATAGAATCTCCTTTTTCGTTTAACATTTTTTCAGCAAAGACATGATACTTACTTGTCTCACATACTTTCTTTATAATAATTGTACTGAAATTTAGACGCTCTGGCAGGGAAAGAGATGTCAATCTGGATACTTTTTGTGTATGACTTCAGACCTCTGCCATGGGTATTAGTGATGATCCTGCATTGAGGACGAGAAGTATCTAAGATTTCAGAACCAAGAAAAACTGTAATATATGCTACATTTCGTGTTGCAGAAGGAATTTCACTTTAGTGTATTAAGTAATATGACGCGGAGTGTGCAGAGCCGACAAATCATTTTAGGGAAGTAGACATGTATCAGAATATGGCACTATTTCAGATAGTGAGAAATTGAAAGAATGTACGCAGTTGAGGTATTTTCGTCATTGACATGTGGGACGAGGTTAGAGAGATGATCACTTTGTTGCATGATCTTAAATGATTAATAATATTTAGACACTCAAAATGAGTGCCGATAAGATCATTAAGTGCGCTGGATGAGAAGCAGATATTGTCGTAGTTGTTTTTATGATCCTTTGAGACAAATGTTCATTCGATGATAATATTCAGCTATTCGAACTAATGAATAAGGAAATAGACAAGCACAATATGCCACCGAAGAAAACCCAGAATAACAAGCATGATAATCGGCCAATAATTTCATCGATGCAAGATCATGGATAGACATGTGTTGAATGATAGAGTTGATTTTTCGATAAGAAAATGAGTGAATCAGTTGGTATGCGACTTTGATCCAATTCCAA